TAGCCGCAAAATGCCTCCGTGCACTACTGCCCTCTGAAGAAGTTAACTACGTAACAATATTCATTTTTTGCAGTGCTCCTGATGAAAATAAATTGCTGAAATCGTTGAAATCTCAATTAATTTGGATAGATTTTAATTATTTTAACAATTTATTTCCATCAGGAGCACTGCAAAAAAAGTGGATGTCGTTGACATCCACTTCTTCAGAGGGCGGTAGTGCACAAGTATTTTGCGGTTACAGGAAAAAGGCCTTCGCGTGTCCTCTCTCAGGTTTCTCTCAGGTATCACCGACTGTCACCAGTCACCTAATGTCAACTAATGTTGATATTAGTATTAGTCGTATTAGTTTAAGGCCTTCACTCTACACCTTGTATATAAATCTTTTTTTCACGTATCTGTCATTTATACTGAATTTTTAGGTAAATATTTACTACTTATTTCATCTTACTAACGTTATCTGGTTGTATATATACATACTTTTTTAGGGTGCGTTCCGAATTACGCACAGGGCGCATGATGTATCATTTATCCTCGTTCACTGAATAAAACAGGATAAAATGATATTTTATGCATTTCACACGTAATTCGGAATGCACCCTTAAAAAGACTTTTGCAATTTTCTCATTTGCGAATATTGGAAGAGTACTTTTATATATATGCAATTTTTTCTGTTATAATCAAAAATTTAAATCGCGCCTTATAAAATACATCTGCATTCATAACTGTTTTGATATTTTTTCTGCAGCTGCGATTACCTTTTTGTAACAGAATGACATTATTAATTCGGAGTGATGCTATTTTGAAGTAATTATTGATATTGTTCATTGTGCACAAGAAATGTTGTGCTTATGGTATATTTATAGAGAAAATCAATATCTTTAATTTTTACGCATACATACACGTCCAATAGAGCTTGTAAGATTTCTTATGACACAAAGTATATTCTTTCTTTTTTAATACATATGTACGCACGATAATGATATAAAAATCATTTTTATTTTTTTTTAGTAACATACTGTGTCTTTAGAAAAAAAGAAAATGAGAAACGGCAGCAAATTGTTAAAAGTTCTTTTACAAGCGTCAGAGAAGGCAGCAAACATTGCTAGAATTTGCCGGCAAAAGGAAGCTCTTTTTCAATTGTTAGTACAAGAAAAATCCTTAGAAGAGAAAAACCCTCGTTTTTTCCAAGATTTCAAAACGTTAGCTGATGTTCTCATTCAAGAAACTATCAGACATGACATAGAAATTGAAGTGAGTATAAAAGTATCTTAAATATGGAAGTACAAAATGCTGGAAAAATATCTTAATATCACAACTTTTTTCCAATGTAAAACTTTTAATTTATTGTCATAAACAGTTTCCAGAGTTGGCCAAGATAGTACAAGGTGAAGAAACCAATGTATTCAGCAATATCTTGGGGGAATCTATTATTGTTGAGATCTGTTCATGTAGCAAAGATACAACACAACTACTGACAAAAGTAATGGGCAATGATGCTGTAGCAGCAGAGTTGCTTGCTGCCGAAGTCCATAAAGATGTTCAGCTTTCAGATGTGCCAATTACAGTAGACATTCCTATTGATTTTGATGTCAATATAGAAGACCTTGGTATTTGGATAGATCCAATTGGTAAGTATACAAGTAAGAATAGTAATTCTAGATTATTCAATTGGTATTTAGTAAATTTACACTAATTCAGGACAAGACTGAAAAAAATATAAAAGTTGGACAATATTATGGTAAAACATAAAGCTATGTCTTTTTAAGAATCATAATTGGCCTATAAACTGAGACACAATTTGTAAGAATTTTTGTTTGTTTTATAGTTTGATAAAATGCATACCTGTGGAGCAATTCGTGGAACTTTTGTAGATTCAACAGCAGATTACATAAATGCAAAGGAAACAGTAGATGAACAGACCGGTTTATATTTGAGTGGGTTACGTTGTGTCACTGTCTTAATTGGAGTCTACAAAAAAAGTACTGGAGTACCAGTTTTGGGTGTAGTTAATCAACCTTTTTGCACCAACATAGACTCACAGTAAGTACATAGAATAGAAACAATAACAAGATTTAGAAACAAGACAGTTTATTTATTAATATGTATGT